AGAAGCACCTCGCATCAGTCATCCAAATGTCATTGAGTATCAGCGTGTTCTCCAAGTTAAAGAGGTAAAGTGAAAAAAGCAAAGTATTGATTTAACCCTGGACAATTCTGGCAAATTAGCAAGAATAGAACAGTGTCCCAATGTATAGTAATAAAAATAATAAAATCAAGCAAACACAGGTGAAATCTACTGTAGAACTAAATCTATTGACTCGATGTCAAGAGAAGTAAAAAACCAATGGACAGTGTTGGTTAATAGTACATCAGTGGCAATATCTTTGTTTTGTTGTAGCTCTAAATAGTCATGCCCTTTGCTCACACTTTTTGGATTTCAACAAGTGAAAAATGAATCCACAGTTTGCTCCATCTTCTTAATATATACGATTATACTATAATGACTTGACACCTTTTTGTAGAAGGGTGGGTGTTCGGTGTGCCTGCAGTACGGATGGAAATGGAAGCATACATAAATTACCATCCACTTTGGTGCAGTAACAGTAGCAACAAGTTTGGACTGAAAATTAGCTCTGCTGAGATTCTATCCCCAGGCTAAGCTTGGGAAATAACACAAAAAATTGCCCAAATGCTTCAGCAGTTCCTCCCCCTCGGGCCTGTGTAAATAGACAAAAAAATAAATGATGATAAAACAAATGGATTTGTGCAGAAGAAAACAGGAAGCTTTTCCAGCTGTAGCAGCAACCATTAACTTGTTGCCGGCGCAAATGGGGTTACGACTGAGTGACAGGGTACGATAGAGAGAGCAAGGAGAGCGAGAGCGAGACAAAGGTAAGTGAGGGAGAAAAATAAAGACAAGACTCTACACAGAATGGGCAAAGGGAAGATGGAGTGATTGGTGGAGGAAAAGGACTGTCAGGGAAATTAAAGTCCTCTGTAAACAAGTGCCAAGCTGTCAGTCTGTGAGAGGACTTGATTACAGCATGCCACAGAACCGTGTACCTCAGCCTACAAAGGCCCCCACAACCTGTAACTAGACCCCTCTTCTCTTCTCTTCTCCTCTCTTGATCCAGTCAGCACTTATCTCTTCTCCCTCCTACAGTCTCTTACCCACTATATATCCTTCCTGTCTCGGTAGTTCACTTCCTTTCCTATCCAGATTCCCTTTGTCCCTCTTCTACATTGACCCTTTGATTTCAAATCCTCTGCGACCTAAGAAAACACCACCAAATAGAAAAATCCTGCAAAAGCACACAAAAAACAATTGAACGTAACTTAAACAGAACTGAAAGAAAAAAATGCAGCAAAACTGTAATAAAAGTTTTTGGGGAGACAATAGCGTGACGGACAGCTGTGATATGCT